CGGGGCAAGCCGCTGTTCCCGCGCCGGGTGCTGCATCCGGTGTTGCGTTTGTTGTCCGTGCGGCAGATCGGCGAGGGCATGGCGGTGCTGCATTACGAGGTGCGCAAGAGCACGAGCTGACGGGCTCCCTGATTCGGTCTGCGCGCCGCTCAGTTCGCCTCCCCGCGCCCAGGCGCCGTCATCCCCGGAATGTATTCATTGGAGATGAAGCTGCGGCAGCGGTGCATGAAGGCTTCCACCACATGGCGGGGCTTTTGTTCGCGGGCCAGGCCAGGCCCAGTTTCATGGGGCGGTGGTTGCCGTTCAGGTGCAGGTTGACGATCTTCTTGCCGTCCAGCGCATGGGAGTTGCGCGGCGCACGTTGACCAGGGAGTAGCCCACGTCGTTGGCGACAGGGAGCGCACCACGTCGGGGCTGGCGCTGCGGGCCGCGATCAGGGGCGAGACGCCGGCTTCGCGGAACAGCGACATGAAGTATTCACGGCTCAGGGGCAGGTCCAGCAGGACCATGGGCAGCTGGGCCAGCGCCTCCAGCGTGGTGGAGCGGTGGTTGGCCAGCGGATTGAGTTCGCTGACGATGACCATGGGCGGCAGCTGGGCCAGGGGCTCGAAGCAGATGTCCGATTCGGCCACCAGCAGGTCGTAGGTGATGGCGACATCGATCTGCGCGGTGCGCAGCTTGTGGATCAGGCCTTCCTGGTGGTCCTCGATCTGCGTCACCGTGGCCTTGGGGTGGGCGCGCGCGAATCCCTGGCACAGCTCGGGGGCGACCATGGCCGCCAGCGTGGTGAAGCAGCCCACGCGCACGGGGCCGCGCACCTGGCTTTGCGCGCTGCTGGCCACGTCATACAAGGCCATGGCCTGGTCGAGCAGGCCGCGGATTTCCCGCAGGACTTCGGCGCCTGCGGGCGTGACGGACAGGCCTTGCGCATGGTGGCGCACGAACAGCGGCACCTGCAGCTCCGCCTCCACCTGGGTGATGGCCGAGGAGATGGACGAGGGCGAGACGTGGATGCGGTTGGCGGCCTCGGCAATGCTGCCGAACTCGCCCGCTGCCACGCAGTATTCCAATTGTCTGAAGGTCAGTCGTGTCAGCACGGTGTGCAAGAGGTGGAGAGGGGGAGGGCGGCCAGGGTGATCCGCCGCGTAGTTGACCAAGCGGCGGACCGCGCTGCAAGAGGCCCTTCCCGCAAGGCGCCTGCATTGTGCGGCGGTCGGGCCCCGGCAGCCTTCAGTCGCTGGCGTTGTGATTGCGAAACCATTGCGCCACCGCACCGTCGCCCTGGGCTGGCGCCTGCGTGGCCTTCACGCGGTCCGTCAGCCCGGCGGACTTGCCGACAAAGTCCAGCGGCGCATCCCAGTTGAAGTGCCGGTACACGGCCGCCGTCTGGGCGTAGGGCGGGCATTGCGCAAACAGCTGGAAGCTGAGCCGGTGGCCGGCGTGGTCCGAGTCGAGCAGGTCGCGCGCATAGGCCAGCAGCCTGCGGCGGTCGTCGGCCTGCGATTGCGGGCCGAGCGTATAGAACTTGCGCAGCCAGGGGCCGGTGTCCTCGTTCTCGAAGCTGGCGTGGTCCGGCGTCAGGCAGACCTGGCCGCCGCACAGCTCGCGCACGGTGTTCATCATGTGGTGCAGCTGGCTGGTGGCCAGCGACCGACCCGTGAACAGCAGCGACTGGTTGGGCATCATCAGCCCGGCCGGGCTGCGCTCGGCCAGCGCGATGGCGGCCGTGAGGTGGGCGTTGATGCCTTCGCGGTAGCAGGCCAGGCCGGCCAGCCTGTCCTGCACGGCCTGCAGCTTCTCCACGCCGGTCTGGCGCGCGTTGTGCAGGGCCGTGCCTATCAGCATGTCGGCCAGCTTCAGGCTGCGCTGCAGGAAGGTGAAGGCCGAGTAGCGGTGCAGCGTCTCGCGCAGGAAATGGGCGGCCCGGGTGTGGCGGTAGAACAGCACGTTCTCCCAGGGAACCAGCACGTCGTCGAAGACCACGATGGCATCCACTTCGTCGAAGCGATGGCTCAACGGATGGTCCTGGGCCGATGCGCGGGCGGCCAGGCCCGGGCGGCAGATGAAGCGCAGGCCGGGCGCGCCCAGGTCGCAGATGAAGCCTATGGCGTATTCGGACTGCGCCGCGTCGCCCCAGTGCGCCAGCCCCGGCTTGGTGAAGGCCTGGTTGGCATAGGCGGCAGCGGTCTCGTACTTGGCGCCGCGCACGATGACGCCTGCATCGGTCTCCTTGACCACGTGCAGCAGCACGTCGGGGTCCTGGTCCTGCGGCAGGCGCGAGCGGTCGCCCTTGGGGTCGGTGTTGGCCGATACGTGGAACAGGTCGCCACGCACCACGCGGCGGATGTGGGTGCGGATGTTGGCGGAAAAGCGCGGGTCCAGCTCGTTGAGCACGTCCTGGCCGTCGAACAGCGACCACATCTCGCCCACGCTCTCGTCGCCCACGCGCATGACCACGCCGCCCAT